ACCAAAATGTGCCAAATAGGTTATGTATAAACACACAGCCTAAGAACCACTACATATAAATATATCATTATTTTAACTTGGCCAAATGCCAATGTAATGTGTCGTCAAATTAAACATATAATTATTTTATTGACATGTATGATTCATTTTGATCTTGCATTTCATTATCAGACATTAAAGATTCTGGGCCTCTGAATTTAGAAAATAAAGTTGCACATGTAAGGGTGTGAAAGGGAAAAAAGGCAGTGTGTGTCTGGGACAGAGGGAGGGAGAGAGCAGTCTGTGGAGTGTTGCATAACAACCTCCACAGAATGCTCTAATCACATTATTTAGAAGGATGCACCAGGCTAAATAATGTGGCTATTTGTAGGTTGCATATGTTCAAGACCTTAAAGCAATTAGTAAAATGCCTTTATATAAAGGTACACATATTAACCATTAACTATTGGCTTTTTAGCATGTATATAAGTAGTATATTGGCTCTGTATTAGTCATTATAAAGAACTTACTAATGCCTTATTAGGCCATTAACTATGAGTTTTTTCTCACTGCTTATTCATTGTAAATGTTTCAGCTGACAGATCATTTTGGTGTGTAAATGATCACACAGATTTTCAACTATATATCTACATATTAATCATACTGTATGACATGAATATATAAATACTGTCACTTGTCAACACTCTATTTCTAGCTCCATTTGGCACCCTAAATTCCACATCTGATTAAAAGCCAGGCAGTTTTTTGCCTGGCCTGTGTTATCAGGTGTAGGTGTAATTGCTCAGACTGGCCTCAACAACAGCCTCTTTCTCTTGTTTTTATACGGATGTCTTACTACTCTACTTTCTCTCCATTGGAACCAAGTTGAATGTCTAAATACCATTATTATCAAGTAGCATCTATATGCAGCATCTTTACAGTCTCAGAAAAGTGTGGGTTTGTATTTAGCAGAGTAAATTATTACTAGCTAATCCTCATAATTATTGCTACAGCCTAAGAAAATGTCCTTCCTAATCCAGAGTAGGGGTCTGAAACACTAGTTTGAGACTTATTATGGTAAGTAAATACAATGTATGAACAACAGTTGTTAACTAGTTAGCAAACAAACTAACCTTTTATGTTCAATCTGCTAGCAAAGTAGCCAACACTGTCATTTAAAACTATTCTGCAAGCACTGACATGACCACCAGTCATCATTATTAGAATGAAACCTAAATTTATTCATTGCAACTGTATTTTGCTTAACTTTTATGCACTAATTCGTCTTGCCCTCTTCTTCACTTTGCCAAAGCAAAGGGGAAGGCAAAGAAACGGCACACAGCTCCTTTTTGATGACTGGATTGCAATGTAACTTGATAGCAGCAGTCAATGATTGGATGAACTGGCGATCAAGAATTGTATTAACTCCCGCCCCCCTTACTTACAAACTGTTATATCTGTCAATCTATCCCAAATGGACGCAGGATTACAAGGTCTGCTCTTGAATTGGCCATTTCGGGCTTTTATTTCGAAAAGTTTTTGTGAGAAGTTTTGTTTTAATTAATTATTAGGCCCCAATCAATTGTCTGCCTTACCTATGGTGTATGGTAAAATCATCAATGTTGACAGTGTGCAGAGACCAGCCTTTTCCACAACCTCTCTTTGTGCCTGATGTAAGTGCAATTTTTGCCCACGGGCAATAAGAGCCTCTGGAGGAGGACTTCAGGCTGATATAAAGAAAGAAAAATGTTAGAGTAGGGAAAATAGGAGGAGGGGGTGAAGAGAGAAGAGATAAATCAGCTGTATGATTAAGAGGTTAAGTCATAAAGCTGCCAGAGCTCAGCAGCTTCTCACATCCTTTTCCTTTGATAATGGAGACCCAGGAAGAAAGTGAACTCTGCTTTCCACAACTCAACAGCTCCTGCAGGAGAACGAAGCGCCCACACACTGAGGCTGTGCTTATTTACATTCTACTGTCCTCCATCTCTCTGCTCACTGCGACTGTAAACCTGCTGGTCATCATCTCTATCTCCCACTTCAAGTAGCAAAATATTTAATAAATTTATGAAAATGATGAAATGATGAAAATTACTGGTTCAGAGAAAGACAATAGAAATGGTCAGATCTGGTCTATGTGTTGATGTATGATTTTAACTACTGTGTTTATATTTTACCTATAGATTATGTTATATTTGTTATATTTAATATATATATATAATATAATGGAATTGCAATTGATACTGGAAATAATAATATGTGATACATATGCCCCTCTTTCAATCCAGGCTGCTCCACACCCCCACCAACCTCCTCCTCCTCTCTCTGGCAGTCTCGGATTTCTTTGTGGGCCTCATCATGTCTTTTCAGATTCTCCTCACAGACGGCTGCTGGTTCCTCGGTGACCTCATGTGTTCTTTGTTTTACATTTTAGACTTCATTGTGACCTCTGCCTCAGTAGGAACCATGGTGATTATATCTGTTGACCGCTATGTGGCCATTTGTGACCCTCTGCATTACTCCACCAAAGTCACTGTGAGAGGAGTAACAATCTGTGTTTGCTTTTGTTGGGTCTGCTCTATTCTGTACAACAGTCTCATAATGAATGATAATTTAAAACAGCCAGGCAGACATAATTCCTGCACTGGAGAGTGTGTGATTGTCATTAACTACATTGCAGGGGTCGCTGACCTTATTTTGACCTTTACTGGTCCTGTAACTGTCATCATAGTTCTGTATATCAGAGTTTTTGTGGTGGCCGTGTCTCAGGCTCGTGCCATGAGGTCACATATTGCAGCTGTCACTGTTCAGCGTTCAGTGAAAGTAACTGCGAAAAAATCTGAGATGAAAGCAGCCAGGACTCTTGGTGTTGTTGTAGTTGTCTTTCTAACATGTCTTTGCCCATATTACTGTTCCTCTCTTGTAGGCCAGAATTCCTTGTTTGGTGTTACATCTGTGCCCTTTGAGACCTGGTTATTCTATTTCAACTCTTGTCTAAACCCAGTGATCTATGCTTTTTGCTATCCCTGGTTCCTAAAATCTATTAAACTCATTGTAACATTTAAAATACTTCAGCCTGACTCTTGTCGGGCCAACATACTGTAGTTGGTGAGACAGACATGAAATGTTAAAATGTGAATTACAAATCGAAAAGTCTGGAACAATTTAAAATATGTCACTTATGCTTCAATCTCACATGAAGTGTGATTACCAGTATGTGTGTATCTTCTCTTTATTCTGTTATTCTGTTATTTGTACGGTAACCTCATTGTAATGTGCTACCTTTCCATTGTCTGCCTTTGACTGGTCCCCTGTTAATGGAGCCTCTATAATAAAAATAAAATACTTACAACAACAATAAATATTAACCATTTACATATATGATGTAAATAAAGGAAAACATTAGGTGAATAAAAGAGCCACTTATTTACAGACAAAGAGCTGTTTGTGAGCCACAACGTGATAAACCCTAGTTAAGCCAGGAAATGGAGAAAGGGTGTAACTGGAGACACTCAAGAGGTCTTACAACATATCTAAAGCAGAGGTAGGCCCTTTGTTTCCTTTGTGAACATAGGCCATTGACGGCACTCCTGGCTTAATGTATGAAGGATCAAAGCTGCCAAAATCAAAAATAGAATAAATTACCCAATTAATAGCTAAATAATTAATAAATAAGAATGCCATTAAATGCACCAAATAGAACATTAAAAATAAATGTAGGCATTAATCAATCTATAAAATGTCACATAAATTGATATTTCAGTTTTTTGCTTCTTAACTTTATATATTATACTATATATATATATATATTACTATCATATTATATATATTATATATATATATATATAAATTCATTTTTAAATGTATTTTTTAAATTATGTTTTAATGAATTATTTTATCATGATTTACGTAGCATTTCCTCCCATGTCCATGTCTTAATAGGAGAAGTTATAAAATACTGTACATTAATAAACACCTTTAAATATTTCTGTACACTGACAAAAATGTACCAATCAAGGATATACCTTTAGCCAAAGACAAAAATTCATATTCACACAAAGTAAAAAGATTATTTGTTATAAAGACCATACACCATTTCTTTGTTTTAACTTTAATTTCTATTTTGGAAAAGCTTAATATTAACAATTACATCCAAGTCTAGTTTTTACTAGACTAATATGTTACCAGCAATTTTATCAACTTTTATCAAGTTAAATTTCTGATTCAAACTAAATAACATGTGCATACTTAAGGACTTCCAAACCTTCAGTAACAATCAGAATGTCATGTGGTGGCTAGAGAGGGTCCTTCTCCTGACGAGTAACACTTGCACTGTACACACCTAAAGCTCTGTTTCCACTTCATCTGTCTGAACAACCTGATAATGAGAAGACATTAATGAAACCAGTGTCTGATGTAGCAATATTTAGATCCATGTGTTATTTCCACCTAGTGTATTTGAATATGTCTGCAGGCTGGAGTCCCTAAACAGTGTTGGAATAACATAAATTGGATAAGAATGACAAACTGAGAATCTGGTGGATTCAATGAGCCCAATTGTATTAATGTGTGATGATGTCTGTCCCCATAGCCATTTAATTGTAGTGAGACCATTTTTTTTTAAACGTGACATCACTGCTTTATATGAGCTGCTGTGACCTCTAGGATAATCACAGCCTCATGAAGCTGTCCAACCACAAGATAACATGGGGATCCAGAGGATGGATGTCTTTCATAGCTATATTGACAATAAGGGGGTTTCTGAGCAACTTCAAGAACAGGAAGTGCTTGCCATCCAATGGCCAAAAAATGAAATTCTTACATTAATCTCCAAACGTTTTTGACGGAAAAATAAAAAAAAATTTCTTGAAACTTCCCGATTGAATGTGGTATTCAAATAGACGTTTACCTAGTCCCTATAGATTTATGACTAGAAAAACTTGATTTCATTTAGAAAAAATTAATCCTTACGGAAAGGTTACGTTATATAACAACAAATAACAGAATAAAGAGAAGATACACACATACTGGTAATCAAACTGTGACATATTTTACTGTTCCAGATTTTTGGATTTGAAATTGACATTTAAATATTTCATATCAGTGTCACCAACTACAGTATGTTGGCCCAAAAAGGGTCAGGCTGAAGTATTTTAAATGTTATAATGAGCTCAATGGATATTAGGAGCATAGATCAGTGGGTTTAGACAAAAGTTAAAATAGAATAACCAGGTCTCTAAGGGCACAGATGTAGCACCAAAGATGGTGTTCTGGCCTACAAGAGAGGAACAGTAATATGGGCAAAGACATGTCAGAAACACAACTACAACAACACCAA